AAGCACCAGCTGTCTGAACCTAGCCCAAGTCACATTTCGTTCAATTCTACTCTCCCACCAATGACAAGCTCTATTTTTTAGCATAAATGATGCGCAGGAAACCTTCTCTACGTCAATGCACTCCATGACTCGCAAAATACGCTCCATATCTTCTAACCACTTCCCTGTTCCAGCAGTACCATCGAATGATGAAGGGTTGAACTTGAGAAACTGCTCAATAACAATAGTAGATCCATATCGCTTTCGAGCTGCACGAAGCAGCTGCTCCTTCTTTTTCTCCTCATTGTTTTTTCTGTTAGATGAAGCTCTGGATGCTGCCATTTTCTTCTCCTTCAATATATAAAAGAAAAAACTCTGTAAGTAATTTACCTAGATCGGTGAGATTGAGGAATCATTGGCCATTAAACGGAAAAGAATGCACTAAGACATAGAAGAACACATAAGACAGTTATATTTCTAGTAGCTCTAAAACTAAAAAGTTGGTTCTGATAACAAGTTGGAATGCCCTTCTCTCTCGGACATCAACCTCTAATCAATTACGTTAAATGTTTAAGTGTAATTTTGCCAAAATTCATACACAACCACTTAGGGGAAGTCAGCAAGCTGTCTAAAAACATACATAAGATGGGGAAAGAATTTCATAACTCCAGAAAGCTAACTTCGTATAGGATAAACATATTAAAAAGGCAGAATCTGGTTTTCGAAAAATTATTAGATGTAATTTATATGAATAATTTTCGTGAAAACTGATTTGAGGGATAAAATCACGAAATTATGACAAAACAGAAACGTGAAAATTGAAAAACAGAAAGCTTAATAAATAGTATATAGTCCAGTTTTCAATTAGATCAGTCCCATACATCAATATATGAAGAAAACTTTGTATTGAATCAATAAAACCCTGTTCATGAAAGCAAAAGACGGAACAGGTCCTTGTTCTTTTCCTAGTTCAATGAAAGAAAAATAGTAAATAACGTTTGCTGATTCGCATCGACTCGGATTTCATGCATATAAAATAATAATGGGGTAATTGAATTCAAAAGAAATATCTTACTTAATTCTTGGGTCGAAATCTTAACTGGAAGAACGTGGTCTTTTGAACTTGAAATCACAAATCGTGCTCGATCCTTCTTCTCTTTTTCTTTTCTTTTCTTTCTTACTCTTCTCTCTGTATCTCTATTTTTTCTCAACCGCTCTATCTATGATTTTCTGTGGACCGAAAATTGCACGACGGATGGATATATAAGTGTTTTTTTTTTTTTTTTTTTTTTTTTTTTTTTTT